TTCAGCGGTCGTTTGATATGGTAGTCGCATCATCGTCGCAATGCCCCCAGCCCGCGGCATTTCCATACCAGACAGCGGTTCGTTGAACTTTCCCAGGCCAGTAGATCTGCGCAGGTACAGGGGCTGTTGTGTGGACAGGCACCTGCAGGCAGACTGCTGCTGAAGTACGCCATTATTGAGGGCAAATGAGCTCAATTGAGCTCCTATTTTTCTGACATGCCTCGACAGCATGGTTTATTTCATCTTAGTGCGTGTCTCACGCCTGTAAGAGAGAAATATCAATCTAAGAAGATATCTGAAAAGAGCTTAATGCACGCCCTTCGTACGCCCTTCGCTCAAAGTTTACAAATAGCCTTTCTTCAAGAGCGGATGGCAAAAACCAAATGATATTATATAATTAAAACAAATACCGTATTTAAAAAAAAAAAAACGTATGGGGGGGGGGGGAGGGGTACTCACATATTAAGACATACGGGGTGTGCCGCTCTAATGGGTCACTTTTCCACTAAAAATCCCTAAACATGGATCCCATTTAAACAAAAATATCCCTAAACATGGGTCCGTTTTTTCAAAATTTCCATGCAAACACCAACAAATTGTAAAACATGATATGGGCTTTACTTCGAGAAAAATCCCCCAAATGACTATTAATAAAGTTAGGGGTTTCGAGTGAGCGGCACACCCCCGTCCAAACTAAATCTGAGTACCCCCCCCCCCCCCCCCCCACCGGGGGGGGGGACTTTATTACAAGTGTAAGAATATTTGTCTTGAGACTTTTGATATCTTTCTGAATGGGATTACAAATTTTAAAAAATATTGAATTGATGTGAACAGTCCAAAAGGTTCAAATGTATTGAACCTAATTGCATGACATGTATTGGACTGATATAAATTGATTTGAATTGAATAACTGATTTAAAAAGTAAATTAAATTGCATTGTAATCGAACTGAACTGAATGATTTGAATTGAGTATCTACGAGGAAACATGAATGATTTGATTTTGTACAATCGTTTGAATGTATATGGTATATAGTCAGCCACTGCATTTAAAGCTTGTCAACACTAGTGTGGCTAGGAGGGATTAGACCACACACAGGGGGGTCGCCAAAGGGGGGGTGCGACACACCCCCCCCCCCCCCACCTGTCAGGATATTGTCGGTAAAATTGCGCTGCCGTCGGGAAAAAGAGAAAAGGGGGAGGGAAAAAAAGAGAGGGAAAAAAAGAGAGGGGAAGGGAAAGAAAAGAAAAAAAGAAAAGGAAAAGAAAAGAAAGAAAGGAAAAGAAAGGAAAGAAAGGAAAAGAAAGGAAAGAAAAGAGAAGAAAGAAAGAGAAAAAAGAAAAAGAGGGGGGAGAGGAAAGAAAGGAAAAGAAAGAAAAGAAAGAAAAGGAAAACAAGAAGAAAAAGAGTGAAAGGGAAACAAAAGAAACGGGGGATGAAAGAGAGGAGAGAGAGGGGAGGTAAGAGTCTGAGAGAGGAGGAGTGGGAGTATAGGTGGAGTCGTTTTGTCGAGGAAGCAAGAAAGACACGGGTAAATATGTTGCTGTGTCTGGTCAGCTGTGTCGGTATTCTTGCTCGATCCTCGTGTACTATATCAATGCAGAATTTAGAAGTCAGTGAGATGTATATTATCGGTCGGCCAACAACTTTTTTTTCTCCTACGAACTGTGACTTTTTATCCGCTGTGACGACTTCGAGAGTGACTACAACTACAATACTGGTATTTTCTCGAAGTTTCACTTTCCCATAATATCAGCTAAAGAAATCAGAGGTTTAAAATTTTCGGGGAAATAAATTCAAATAAGGATTAAGAGTCAACAACGGTACGACGAATCGTCTTCGTTTCTCTATATTTTGATGAAACGCCGAAAATTCCGCGCTTCACGCGAGAGGGGGAAACTTCATTTAGACAAGTAGAGGACGGTACACGAATCGTCTTCTTTCTCTAATAATTTAATGAAACGTCAAAACTTCCGCGCGTCGCGCGGGAGGGGGAGAACTGAATTCAGATAAAGATTAAGAGTCGAGAACAGTACAACGAATCGTTTGCTTTCTCTCATAATTTAAGAAAACGTCAAAACTTCCGCGCTTCGCGCTAAAGGGGGAAACTGAACTCAGACAATTAGGGCTTATTAAAGGGAAAGTCCACCCCCAAAATAAGTTTGTTTCGATAGAGGCAGAATAATAAGAAAATCAGGTGAGTGAAAGTTTGAGCAAATTCTGAATGAAAATAAGAAAGTTATGAATTAATGAAGTTGTGATCAATCAAATACAAATTGGCAACGCTGTGACTTATTATACGAGCTCTCCTTCATTTGCTCAGTGCATAATATTCCATAAAATCATGTTTTCTTCGTTATTGATGACGGAATATATATTTGTTCCTTGCAGGGGGAGTATAGAAACATATTTGCAATTATCATATTTAGGGTGCATGTATGGTTGAAATTTTTCTTGAGGAAAAATGAAAATTTTAGATTTTTTTAGTACTGAGCAAATGGAAGTTGAGCTCGCATGATACGTCATAGAGTTGCCAATTTGTGTTTGATTGATCACAACTTCAAAAATCCTAACTTCCTTATTTTTAATCGGAATTTGCTCAAACTTTCACTGACTTGTTTCTCTCATTTTTCTACTCCTATTAAAACTAACTTAATTTCAGGGTGGACTTTCCATTTAAGAGTCGAAAACGGTACAACGAATCGTCTTCTTTCTCTAATAATTTAAGGAAACGTCAAAACTTCTGCGCTTCGCGCGGGAGCAGGGAAACTGAATTCAGACCAATTAGGAGTCGCGAACGGTACAACGAATCGTTTGCTTTCTCTAATAATTTAAGGAAACGTCAAAACTTCCGCGCTTCGCGCGGGACGGGGAGAACTGAATTCAGATAAGGATTAAGAGTCGAAAAAAATGCTTTCTCTCATAATTTAAGGTAACGTCAAAGCTTCCGCGCTTCGCGCGGGAAAAGGGAAACTGAATTCAGACCAATTAGGAGTCGAGAACAGTACAACGAATCGTTTGCTTTCTCTCATAATTTAAGGAAATGTCAAAGATTCCGCGTTTCGCACGGGAGGGGGAGAACTGAATTCAGATAAGGATTAAGAGTCGAGCACGGTTCAACGACTAAATCGTCTGCTTTCTCTAATAATTTAATAAAACACCAAAGCTTTCGCGCTTCGCGCGGGAGGGAGGAAACTTCATTCAGGCAACGATTAAGAGTCGAGAACGGTACAATAAATCGTCTTCTTTTCATAATAATTTAAGGAAACGTCTAAGCTTCCGCGCTTCGCACGGGAGGCCTATCACCACACCCCCCCCCCCCCCTAATGAGCGCGCCTCGCGCGCCCTTTAAGTGATTCGCTTGCTCACTACCGCTCCTCAATAAAATAAGATCTTAGCCCCGCGCCTGCATTAAAATATGTAGCTATGATGCTGACTAAGTTGACGAAATAATTCATATATTAATATGTCATCGAGGAAAATGACCATTTGCGCATACTCAAGTACTATAGATAGTCCATAGGAAAAACAATTTAGCCTTCGGCCCCGGGTTTATAGGGTTAAATTTGTAGATATTGGGACATTTAATTTTGTCGGTAATTGGTGGCTAGTTTTGTCGGTAATCGTTGGCCTCTACACCCCCCCCCCCCCCCACTGAAAAAGGTCTAGCGACGCCCCTGGGCACATTACTCACAAGAGTTCTAACAAGTCAAGCTTATACAGAGCCTATAATAGTAATGTTGTGCATGTACCACCCACCCGATCGATCAAAACTCAGAAACTGAATTTAAAATAGCGAAATGGTAACCATCTAAAATTTACTAATTGTGATAAATATCTATAAAGATTTATCAAGCAACAAAAATAAATAATATCATGTTCAAGAAAAGGATTTATACACTTTGTATTCTTCTTTCGTCTCCATCATCTGACCTCAAATGCTCTGCCAGGCTTTTGCACACTGAAGAGCCTTCTATTTTGCTGCCACTAGGTATTCCAGGCAGCATTGGTCAACTAGGAGTGGGCATCTTAATAAGTGCGACATAGATTGCATGGATGTTTTACACTCGCAGTCGATGTCTGTGTTATCAGTGTATCCCCATGTATGCATGTTGTATTTGCATTGCCCCACTCTTGTCTTCCAGTCACATATATGGCCAGGTGGCAGTTGTTCCTTCGTCGGGATTGGTAGCTTTTCATGGTGGTGGTTTTCACAACGTTTCTCTTCCCACAAGATCACTCTGGTTGAATGAGGAGATTGTGACAGAAGCTAGACTGTATATGAAGGAAGCTCTTCCTTGACTTCAGGCTGGTAGGGACCGGTTGATGGGAGTAAAGGGGATGGCGGGTGTCCTCAACTTGTCTGCTGCGTTCAGTCTAATTGCAACTGTTCTGCGGACATCGGATGGAGCAATGCCGGCCAGGATGTGCAAGCTGTCTACATTCGTGGGCTGCAGCAAGTGATGCATCTGTAGCTGTCGTTGAGGGCTGCATCAACGTTCTTTGTATGGGATGAGCTTTCCCATACAGGGCAGGCATATTCTGCTGCAGAGTAGCACAACGCAAGAGCAGTTGACCTCAGCGTGGAGGAATTGGCACCCCAAGACGAGTTTGCCAGTTTGCGAAGGAGGTTGTTCCTTAATTGTCCCAACTTTACCCTTCACCTTTTGAACATGCTGTTTGCATGAAAGGGTTCGGTCAAGAGTGATTCCAAGGTAGACAGGATGATCGCAGTGCTTCAAAGAGACATCGTTCCATTTCAGGGACAGCTTCCTCCCAGCATTGTGGTTGCGGAGATGGAACAAGCTAACCTGGGTCTTGGCAGGGTTAGCCTTCATAATAGTTGTTGTTTTAGTAGTCTGTCAGGTTGTCTAGGGCTGATGAAAGAGTGGCTTCTATCTTGTCTTTGTGTGAACTCTGGGCCGCTATGCCAAGTTCATCAGCATATATGAAGCTTCTTGTCACTACATGGGTACACTGGCTGGTCGTTGGTGTATACATTAAATGCGCTTCCCATTGAACTCAACATAAAGCCGTCTAATTTCCAGGAGCATTTGGATAATCTTAGTCAGATGGGAGTCCTTTGTCATGGTATCGAGCTTGTCGAGAAGTATACGGTGGTTCACAGTGTCGTATGCAGCTTTCAGGTCGACGAACACAACTCCAGTCGGTTCATTCTTCTCGACACCATCCTCGATGTGCTGGGTTAGATTTAGCACTTGGCCAGTGCACGATCTTCCAGGCCAGAAACCTGCTTGTCTGTATAGCATGAGGCGCTCAAAGAACTTGAAGAGGTGGCACAACAGGAAGATTGGTCTGTAGCTCTTTGCTTCGTTATTTTTCCATGGCTTGAGGATAGCAATCGCACTGGCTTTCCGCCAGATTTTAGGAAGCTGGTAGAGGTTACGCAGTTGTCGAACAGAGAGGGAGTAGCCACTCCTGTGTATTGTGCCCAAAATGTTTGATCTGTTCTGTACGTATGTCATCAAGACCAGCTGCCTTGCCATTCTTAAGGGAGTCGATAGCCGTCTGGAGTTCCAAGTTGTTAAAGTGCCAGGTAGATTCTGTGTCAACCTGTTTCCAGGGATTCCTTTTGTGGCGTTTCTTGTGTGCCGATTTGCCATTCAGGAGAAGTTGGTGGGCAACCTGATCTGCAGTAACATTAGAATGGGGTGTAGTCTTCTTGGGATTGTTGCTGATTTTCTTTACGGTAGACCAAGCTCTCTTACTGTACGTTGTGCGTCATATCAACACCCTCAATGAGATCTTGCCAAGACTTCCTCCGTTCCTCTGATATTGCTGGCATGAGGAGCTCACCTGCACTCAGGGTTTCCTCTGAAAAGGGGTCTTTCTCGTACAGTTTTGTGTACTCCTTGTACATCAAGGCACTTTCAGCTGATATTCCAGGTATGTAGTATTCCCTACGTCCACGTGGAATGTGCTTCCTGGGTATCTCCTGTACAGTCCGGACGAATTGGTCGTAGTTTGTCGGGACTGGGTCAAGATCAGATAGAGCTTCATCTAGATCAATGGCGAACTTCTCCCAGTCAGCTTTATGAAGTTGAAACGGCGTCGTAGGGGAACTCTCTGAGGTACCACAACAGTAGTAATGTCCACGGTTATTGGTCTGTGTTGTGAATGTGGTATTGGCTCTAGGACTCGTTTCTTGGTTTGGCATGATATTTGTTCACTTGTAAAGGACAGGTGTAGATTATAACCTTTCTTCCATCGACAGCTATTGAAGTAATGGGGGAGCTTAGCATCATGGACTAGGTGATGTGCCTTTGCCCAGGCCTCAGCAAGGTCACCATCCTCATTCATTTCTTCGTATTCCCACGAGGTGCTATGGCTGTTAAAATCTCCAATAATAACATTTACAAGGTCATATTTGAAAGATTGAGGTTCAGTAAAGGCAAATGTAGATCCCGGTGGTTTATAAACAGAAGTGACTGTTAGTTTCCCCATGTTGACAGCAAGGACTTTTATGTTACCCTCTTCAGTCAGAGAGGTCTGATCAATGATCATATTTTAGAGAAATGTGTTTGTGAGGTATTGTGAAAGAATATTGTAAAGGCGTGTTCACTGGTCACACAACATAACTCTCTTTTTACTTTAGCTACGAGGAAACAATTAGGTTGCACTGGCAATACAATACATGAAAGAAAGTAAGTATTCCCTTTTCGTTATTTTATTGAGGTACTGATGTTGCAGACAAAACACTTGCACAGTGTAGTCATGCAATCAAGCAAATAAATGATTCGATCAGAATCGCATGAATGGTAAATGTGAATATTGCACGTAGTTACATTAAATAGTCATGAATGAGAATGAACATAAATAAATGGAATGACATAATAAAAGCATACGACTGAATGGAAATGACGCTGAAAGTCCAATGAATATGACGAGATGTGAAGAACGAAGGAAGGGGCTCACGCGATGATGGTGCGGAGGCTTGACGGCAGAGATGTAGCTCGTTGTCGTGGCTAAAGAGCCGTGAAGAATCTCAATGCTAACGCTCGTGATGATGATGATGATGATGATGAAACTCTCAGGCGAGAAGAGAAGAAACGGCGGGCGCTTGACGACGAAACAGTGAGTCGTTTGATGTCGGAAGCCATGGTAGAAATGTAGACATCAAAGCCGGTGGTGACGAATTGGGTCGCTCGATGAATCGATGAGCCGGACTTTGAGGTGAAATCATCAGAGTTGCAGTGAGTCGAACTCGTTGATGAACGTTCAGACGAGCTTTTTTGGAAGTGGGGGGGGGGGGCAGTTGCCCCCCAACCAAAAAAGTGTGGGAGGGCCATTTGCCGCCCCCCGATCCTCAACTTGTTGGCGGGAAAACGGCAACTGATATCTCCTCTTTTTTCTTTCCCTTCTCTTCCTTCTCTCTTTCTTTTTGCTGGGTGGGGGGGGGGGCAACAGCCTGGGAGGCAAAGCCCTTTCAGCCCCCCGATCTCCTTCTTTCTCCTTTTCTTTTTCTTCTTCCTTTCCCTTTGTCTCTTCTTAACCTTTCCTCTTTTTTTAATTTCCTTCTTTCTCTCTCTCTCTCTCTCTCTTTTGCTGAAAGGGGGGGGGGGTGGCGAAGGCCTTTCGCCCCGATCTCCCTCTTTTCCCCCTTTCTTCTTCCTCTTCTTACTTTCCCTTACTCTCCGCTTTACCTTCTCTCTCTCTCTCTCTCTTAAGTTTGTGTTGGCGGTTGGGGGTCAAGGCCCTCTCGCTCTCGCCCCCCCCCCCCCCCGCCCTGGATCCACGCCTGGAAGACCTGTAGTCAGGCGCGGATCCAGGATTTCCTAGGGAAGGGGCCCAATTTTTTTTTTTTTTTGCTCCCGAAAATTTGAAAATCGCGCCGGCCGAAAAGTCGCTCAGTGGCGGGGGGGGGGGGGGCCCCGGGGGGGGGGGGGGTAATGAGCACATTTTTATTTTCATAAGGGGCTTGTGGTCGACAGCAAGGATGAAATCCTCACATCCAAGTACGAAGTATCTGGCCTTGTCTAGGGCATCCGCCACGGCGAGGGCCTCGCCTTCGTTTGGAGCATAGCGTGATCTAGCGGAAACTCGAAGCTCACCTCCGCCTCACTGAGCCGGGAGATGTACCGTGACGTAGATGTCCAATCCGCCCACTCCTGCTGCGGCAAATAACTTTGGCGCGAGATTCAGGAACACTGAACTGATTTCCTAGACAAAGTAACCTTTAATTGAGTCAAACCGTGATCATAAGTAAGATTTGGCTATTTGTGTCAGTCGATCAGTATAGACTTCAACAATGATCACGGTCTGTAAACAAATTAGATAAAAGAAGATACCCTTAATTAAGATCAAACTATAACATAATCCTCTACAGTGCGTCCCAATAAAAACTATACACTTTTGAAATGGCTGCCGAATACAAAATTATATAATTCTGGGTAAAAAGTTTTCAATGTATGGAAAGCCCATAAACTCAACTTTCATATGACACCAAAAGGTCCGAAAATAATTCATGCTTGGGTGAACACTGCTCACTTTTGCAAAGGGTATGAAAATTAGGTTGCGCAGGAATTAGCCTTCCAATTTGTGAGAGGTAAATCCTTTGGAGCCTACGGAATTGAGGATGATATGACCAATTAATGATAAATTATGATGAGTTTGGGTTTGCTGAGTGAAATTTGTGGTTTATGGGATTAACATTTTATGCATGAGTGAACAGGAATTGCATTTGTTATTACCGCATAGCAATGTAACTTTCCATGGTAGACTCAGTGGTGTGTTCATGGAAGTCAGGACGGGGTGATGGTACATGGTGCAGGGGAGGTGAAATGTAGGGTAGGACTTTGTTGGGTAGATGGGATAAGGGTCAAGAGGACATGTATGCCCCCTCTGTTTCTCTCTCTCTCTCTCTCTCTGACTGGGTGTGCTTGTGCATATCTTGACAATTCATTAGACAATCAACATTCAGCTTTTAATCTAATCAACAATGTATCACTCAATCTATCACCCATCTAACCTGAAGAATAAGTAGCCAACATCTGTGACATTCTTTTTGTCAACAAACCGTATTTGAAAAATCAATTTACATAATCCCCATCTGGTTATTAAGTAAATCAATGAGATGTTCAACTAATCTTACAATAACTTAAATGTGGGGTGAAGGTTTTTATTCAAGTCACAGATGTAAAAAAAAAAAAAAAAAAAAAAAGTTTGTAACATGGAAATTACAACATGTACCATCACCCCCATGCATAAAATTTGGTTAATAAACCATGAAATTCACTCAGCAAATCATGAACGTATCACAATTGATCATAAATTGGTCATATCATCCTCAATTCCGTAGGCTCCAAAGGATTTACCTCTCACAAATAGGAAGGCTAATTCCTGCGCAACATCATTTTCATACCCTTTGCAAAAGTGAGCAGTGTTCACCCAAGCATGAATTATTTTCGGACCTCTTGGTGTCATATAAAAGTTGAGTTTATGAGCTTTCCATACATATAAAACTTTTCCCCCCAGAATCATATATTATTTATTCAGCAGCCATTTCAAAAGTGTATAGTTTTTTTTGGGACGCACTGTATTAATGACCTACCAGTGCTACAAATAAGGTACAAAATATGCTCATCTGACCGTAATTAAAGGTAATACAAAGTTTTGGTAAATTTTGAAAATTGGGTGGATAGTGAATCTTTACAATTTTGAAATATTTGGATGCCCCTGTGGATGTATTATAAGCATTAAAAAAATTAACCCCTTAAACACTTCTGTTTTCGAGAAAAAGTAAATATAAAAATTTATCGGTGCTCCCGGTAAATTTTGATAAATTTCAAATAGCGCCTATGGCCGTACAATGGTAGCTGCGACCATGAAAATCTCGGACTACGTAGTTGTGATATATAATTTCCAGACGGGAATAGCTAATCAGTCGATTTTAATCAAGAATCATCGTTTCATAGCTAAATTAATATCTTGACCATGAGAGGGCGCTATACAACATAAAGAGTTTATTATTTATAAATTGTATTACTTTAAACTCGATTTTAACCGCGACAACGATCAATTAATATTGTAGGGACGCATATGCTTCCAATATGTTAATTTGAACCAAATTCATGACCCCATACCAAAACTTTGTAATACCTTTAAATGCCTAAAACCCCTTGACTACCGGTGGCTCTGCCCCCTGGACCCCACCTAGGGCCCTAAGGCGGACGGCTGGATGCTAATCTGACGGTAATTTAATGCTTAAAACCCCCTTAAACCTCACGCCAATTAGTGTCCTGCCAGTCTGAGTGTCACAGATAAGGTATCAAAATATGTTTATCTGACCGTAAAACCTCTAAGTTTCCGGGGCTCCACCCCCTTGACCCCACCAGGGGCCCTAAGGCGGGCCCCTGTATGCTTGTCTGACCGTTATAAAATGCCAAAATTCCCTGAGCTTCTGGGGGCTCCGCCCCCTGGACCCCACGCCAATTAGTGACCTGCCAGTGTCACAAATAAGGTATAATTATGCTCATCTGACGTAATTAAATGCCTAAAGCCCTGAGCTTCCGGGGCTCTGCCCCCCCCCCCCCCGAACCCAGCCAATGGCCCTAAGGCGGGCCCCTGGATGCTCATCTCACAGTAATCCATTGCCTTACACCCCTGAGCCTCCGCGGGCTCCGCCTCCTTGACCCCACGCCAATTCGTGACCTATAGCTGCCAGTGTCACAAATAAGGTATACAAATATTATGCTCATCTGAACATATAACTTATTGCCCCAATATATATTAAACCCCTGAATTCCGGGGGATCCACCCCCTGGACCCCACGCCAATTTCTGACCTGCTAGTGTCACAAATAAGGTATAAAACTATTATCATCTGACGATAATTTGATGTATAAAACCTCTGAACTTCAGAGGGCTCTGCCCCCTGGACCCAACACCAATTTGTGTCCTGCCAGTGTCACAAGTAAGGTATCAAAATATGCTCATCTGACAGTAATTAAGTGAGTGGGGTGATGGGGATTTTTTTTTTGTCTACCCCCCCCCCCCCCCCCCCCCTCCCAAACGTTTTTGCCACTGCCGGTGTCACCATTACGTACCAATATTTGGCTCGCATAATTTCAAATTTGCCCCCCCCCTAAGAAATCCTGGATCCGCGCCTGTTGACAGCCCTGCGCTATAACGGTAGCGTGCATGCAGCCTCAAGGGCATGCTATGAGCATATGGTATTCAATGTCACAAAATTAATATTCTGATTGGATTCCGAAGGACATATGAAAGTCTAATAAATCTTTCGAAGGTGAAATTACCTACGTCGGTCGGTAGGTAACCAGCCCTAATATATACGTTAGCATCCCAAGAGCTGTTTCATATCTGAGCAGTGCCTACCTATACAAACACACCACATCATCATGATCTGTGCATTGAGTCTCGTGCTTGTTTTGGCAGTCTCCTTTGGAGAGATGGCCGAAGTCACCGACCTGACCGAGGAAGTGCTCCCAGTTGTTAATGGAATATATAATCAATTGGATAGAGACAAAATCCTGGCTCGACATAACCAGTTCCGTAGTGAAGTACAGCCATCTGCTGCAAACATGGTAGCTCTGGTAAGTTTTGTTTATATACGATACTTGCTGATCTTGCGACACTACTTGCTCTATCGAAACTTGCTCCTAGCCAATTTCCTATACTATCCGAATTCTTAACTTCAACACTGGACCAATTATCTCTAACCCTTAACCAACCACTTGCAAGATTTGCGGAGAGAGGCACAAACACAATAATTGATTATAATCAGTGGCGGATCCAGGGGTGGGCCGAAACGGCCGCGGCCCCCCTCCCCTATTGGCGGCGCAAATAAATTGAGAAGGAAAAAAAGAGGAAGAAAAGAAGAGAAAAAGAGAAATGAAAAGAAGAAGAAAAAAAGGAGAAGAGAAAAGAAAGGAAAAGAAAAGTAAGAGAGAGAGAGAGTTCAACAAAGAGAAAGAGAAAGAGAAAGAAAAAGAAGACAGAAGCCGGGAGAGAAATACAACGAAATGGCACTAAGTGACGTACAGTAACGAGGAATAAGGGAAAGACTAGGGAGGAGGGTGCGTGTGTGAAAGGCGGGTGCATTGAGGGGGAGAGGGGTGACTGACCGTATTTTAATATTTAGGTTATGCAAAACTGAGTCGGAATTATGCTTATTTAAAAAAATTCTTAGCATGTTTGTTTATGTAAAGCCGTAGTGCATGAAAAGATTAGTGTAGAAACACTCTTCTGAAAAGGTCGCGCCCGGCCCCTCAAAGAGCGGCAGAATGGTAATCTAGAAATTTTGGGGTCATTCTCGAAGGCTTGGGAGCCGTTATTGAAGAGGGGGCCGGGCACACTCAAATGGCAGTGACCAGGGGTGTCGATTTGTATCCGTGGTAGGGGGGATGATAGGTGCCAAAATATTTTCGGCAATGGATCAAAGCAACCAAGAGGTAGAAGCGTGTGGCAGGTTGCACCCCCTTCCTTCCAAGTTATTAACTTTTTCAAGTGACCCTCAATAAAGATAACATTTCAGAGAATATAAGGGTGGTAATAAAATTAATAACATGCTAAATGTTAGTCCTGACTTCTGCCTGCAGTGTAGGCCTACCAGCAGGGGCGTCGCCAAAGGGGGTGTGGGGGATGCGACACCCTCCCCCACCTGTCAGGATATTGTCGGTAAAATTGCGCTGCCGTCGGAAAAAATGAGAAAGGGGGAGGGGAAAAAAGGAGAGGGAAACGGAAAGAAAAGAAAAAAGAAAAGGAAAAGAGAAGAAAGAAAGGAAAAGAAAGGAAAAGAAAGGAAAAGAAAGGAAAAAGAAAGGAAAGAAAAGAGAACAAAGATAGAGAAAAAAGAAAAAGAGCGAGGAGAGGAATGAAAGGAAAAGAAAGAAAAGAGAGTAAAAGGGAAACAAAAGAAACGGGGGTGAAAGAGAGGAGAGAGAGGAGAGGTAAGAGCCTGAGAGAGGAGGAGTGGGAGTAAAAGAGAGCAGGGGGTTGTTGGGTGGAGTCGTCTCGTCGAGGGAGCAAGAAAGACACGGGCAAATATGTTGTTATGTCGGGTCAGCTGTGTCGGTATACAATGAAACGTCAAAGCTTTCGCGCTTCGCGCGGGAGGGGGGGGGAACTTCATTTAGACAAGGATTAATAGTCGAGAAAGGTACAATAAATCGTCTTCTTTTCCTAATAATTTAAAGGCCTATCACCCCACCCCCTAATGAGCGCTCTTTGAGTGATTCGCTTGCTCACTACCGCCCTCCCTAAAATAAGATCCTAGCTCCGCGCCTGCATTAAAATATATCTGCTATGATGCTGACTAATTAGTTGACGAAATAATTCGTTTATTTATGTCGTCGAGAAAAATGACCATTTGCGCATATGCAAGTACTATAGATAGTCCATAGGAAAAACAATTTAGCCTTCGGCCCCGTGTTTATAGGGTTAAATTTGTAGATATTGGACATTTAATTTTGTCGGTAATTGGTCGCTAGTTTTGTCGGTTATCGTTGGCCTCTACACCCCCCCCCCCCCCCCCCACTGAAAAAGGTCTAGCGACTCCCCTGCCTTCAGGTGCCTCGAAAAGAGTACATGGTACACAGGCGCGGATCCAGGATTTCTTAGGGGGGGCCCAAATTTGAAATTATGCGAGCCAAATATTGGTACGTAATGGTGACCAACAGTGACGTAAGGGGGGGGGTCGGTGCAGGGAGTGGCGAGTTTCCCCCTCCCTCCTCCGTGAAACGCGGAAGCTTTGACGTTTCATTAAATTATTGGAGAAAGGAGACGATTCGTTGTACCGTTCTCGAGAAATAATCCTCGTCGGAATTTAGTTTTTCCCTCCCGCGCGAGGCGCGGAAAATTTTACGATTTATTAAATTATTAGAGAAAGAAGATAATTCGTTGTAGAGTTCTCGACTCTTAATCCTCGTCTGAATTCAGGTTCCCCCCTCCCGCGCGAAGCGCGGAAGTTTTTAAGTTTCCTTAAATCATTAGAGAAAGAAGACGATTCGTTATACCGTTTTCGTAAATAATTCTCGTCTAAATTTAGTTTTTCCCCTCCCCCTCCCGCGCGAAGCGCAGAAGCTTTTACGTTTCATTAAATCATTAGAGAAACAAGACGATTCGTTGTACCGTTATCGACTCTTAATCCTTGTCTTAATTCAGCCCCCTCCCCCTCCAGTGCGAAGCGCGGAAGCTTTGACGTTTCATTTAACTACTAAAGAAAGATGACGATTCGTTGTACCGTTCTCGACTCTTAATCCTCGTCTGAATTCAGGTTCCCCCTCCCGCGCGAAGCGCGGAAGCTTTTAATTGCCATTAAATCATGAGAGAAAGAAGACGATTTGTTGTACCGTTCTCGAGAAATAATCCTCGTCGGAATTTAGTTCCACTTTCATCCCGCGCGAAGCGCGGAAGCTTATTCGTTTCATTAAATCATTAAAGATTCGTATTACCGTTCTCGCCTCTGAATCCTCGTCTGAATTCAGGTTCCCCCTCCCGCGCGAAGCGCGGAAGCTTTTAATTGCCATTAAATCATGAGAGAAAGAAGACGATTCGTTGTACCGTTCTCGAGAAATAATCCTCATCGGAATTTAGTTCCCCTTTCATCCCGCGCAAAGTGCGGTAGCTTTTTCGTTTCATTAAATCATTAAAGATTCGTATTACCGTTCTCGCCTCTGAATCCTCGTCTGAATTCAGGTTCCCCCCCTCCCGCGCGAAGCGCGGAAGCTTTGACGTTTCATAAGATTATGAGAGAAAGAAGACGATTGGCTGTACCGTTCTCGATTCTTAATCCTTGTCTTAATTCAACCCCCCCTCTCCCCTCCTGCGTGAAGCTTAGACGTTTCATTAAATTATTAGAGAAAGAAGACGATGCGTTGTACCGTTCTCTATACTCTTAATCCTTGTCTGAATTTCAAAGATGTTCTTTGTCTGCTCCTTTTTCTTCATACGTCCTCTTCCGATTTGGGGGAACGCCCCCCCCCCCCCCCTGGCTACGCGCCTGCGGTCAGACAAACACATTTTGATACCTTGTCCGACCCCGCAAGCTCAGGGGTTTAAGGCAATAAATTACGGTCAGATAAGCATTCAGGGGCCCGCCTTAGTGCCCCTGGTGGGGTCGAGGCGGCGGAGCCGGCCCCGGAAGCTCAGGGGTTTTAGGCGTTTAATTAAGGTCAGATGAGCATATTTTTTGTTATACCTTATAATTTTGTGACACTGACAGGTCACTTTTTGGCGTGGGGTCCAGGGGGTGGAGCCCCCAAAAATCAGGGGTTTTAGGCATTAAATTACCGTCAGATGAGCATCTAAGGGCCTCCCATAGGGCCCTAGGTGGAATCCAGGGGGCAGAGCCCCCGGAAGCTTAGGGGTTTTAGGCATTTAATCACGGTCAGCTGAGCATATTTTGATGCCTCATTATTTGTTAACACTGGCAGTTAACTATTCTTTCTTTCTTGCTCTCATTCTATTTTATTTCTCTTTAATACACTTTTTCAAAACAAGTGGGGAGGGGGGGGGGGAGCTCAGAGCTTTCGATCCCCACCGTACCTCGGGCCCTGACATGTAGAAATCTCAAGAATCATATTTCTTGCCCGGCTGTAAATTTAGGAATTTGTCATTTTCCAACAAACACATACAAACGTATAATTTACTAAAAAGTGAGGAAAAATCTCGGAAATTATGTAATTTCAGCATTATTTGTAATCCACCGTTGTGGAATTAGAAATGAAACCAAGCCCCCCCCCCCCCCTATCAGTACGCCAGTATCTCCTCTTTTACTTTTTTCTTTCCCTTTCCTTCCTTCTCTCTTATTTTTTTGATTGGGGGGGGGGGGGGGTCAACAGCCTGTGCAAGGCAAGGCCCTTTCGGTCCCCCGATCTCCTTCTTTCCCCTTTTCTTTTCTTCTTCCTCTTCTTTCTTTCCCTTTCTCTCCTCTTTCCTTTCCCTTCTTTTCCTTTCTTCTCTCTTTTTTTTTGGGGGGGGGGGGGGGGGCCAAGGCCCGCTCGGCCCCCCCCCCCTGGATCCGCGCCTGATGGTACATTTAAAACAATCTTTCATCGAGAAATGAAAACCTGATTTCGATGCGGTATTCGAATAGAATTCTGTGAGACGATGATATACTTTCTCGTAGCTTGATTTGAGGAATATTATTTGTCTGCGGTACGATTGTATAGCAGACAAATGTTGTTTGTATGGTTAACGAATGCATACTTATGTTGGGTCCGGTGCTGTGCCCCGATGGAATGTAATTTGCATAGGCAGCTCGTACAGGTGTGCGAGCTAATTCTGCCACGGAGACCAGGGCGTGGCATGAATTAGTGTGTAATTGAATCATTCTAGCTGGAACTTTCAACGAGACAACTTTTATTTACAATAAAAGTGCGTTGTGTCATGTAGTGTTACATGGCTGTGTTTGAATAAGGTTTTCCAGAGTTCTTATGCTCGTTGAGTTTTATCTCTGGTTTTTTATCCTGGACCATGATAGGTCCGGTTTCCAGTGAAGGAAACGGTTTCCGGTGAAGGAAACGATAAGAAATGTTTGTTAAACATTCATACTGAATAAACGGCCGGCTCTCAGTAGTTGTTGTCAGGCTAT